ATATATATATATATATATATATATATATATATATATATATATATATATATATATAGTGGAACGGGATTCGTACAATTTCGCCATTTGATTATTGGTTATAATGGCCAATTCGAATTCGATTCAATCGCTTTGAAATATCATTTAATGAGTCGGGATTGGCCAAAGAATCGTATTTGCGGGGAATTATGCCTAAATCTTAACTGTCCATAATGGCTGAGCTAGTTATTAATCATTACGGTCCTTTTATTTACCTGATCAGTTGTTATCGCAGTATTTAATAATGACACATGGAAATGGTAAAAATTCATTGAGCTAGAAATTGATTTCTTCGAACACGGTCTTGACATAAGATTGCAGGATAGTGTTCCATGAACTTCTCAGGTATTTTTTGATATTCCTTGAATTCATTAACTAGTGGGGTTTCCATATTTTTAGCGAGATCAAACGATTATTTATAGATTCCCCTGAATTTTGTTGCATGATCATGATCTGTACTTAGTGCATGGAAGAATTTGATCTAATTTACAAAGCTTTTTTTTCATTGCAGTTTTTTAGGTAAATTTAAATTATTTATGCAGCACTAATTTTAACTACATGTGATAGACATTTTAAAACTGTCTTTCGCCCTTTTATCCGCTTCAGTCCCATTTTTTGCTAACTTTTCATAAATCCTTATTATCTTAAGCTTTAATGATGGCAATATTGAAGAGATCATGGATCGTTTATCAGTCATAAAGTTTAGTGCTATCAAGATCATATTGGAATGGTCCATAAAAAATGGTCACTATACAATCTGATACTTCAAATATCATCTGCTGATACTACTGCAGCATTTAGCACAATTATCCGAAGTGCAAAATGTACCTTCCCTAAACATACAGGTGTCATTTCAGAACTTTGTACTGTATTACTCTCTAACCATATTACTTGTACCGGTTTTTCACGCTTGTAATATATATTTAGGAGAAATTCTCAAAAAAAAAAAACGAGAACTGTACAAATTAATTGCATCCGATGTTACGAACAGAGAAACAAAGGAAAACGAATATGTAAAAATGAGAGAAACGGGAAAGACGAAAAAACAAAAACTTAGTTTTTAAGAGGGAAGAAAAGTCTGGTATCATGGGAATATCACGATTTTCAAGAAATATTCACTGAGAATTGTAATGGAAAGCAAGCTATAATTATTTCAATAGGTAATAAATCAGAGTAACTTTAATACTTTACAAGGAAATGTAATAAGTATGACTTATTCGTACCTGGATTACCAATTCTAATGTTAATTTGCTATATTTGGTGATATGATCAAATAAATTTATGTTATTATCAATAAATAATACAAGATTCTTCTCCAACACTTGTCTCTAAAGTCAGCAATAAATAATACAAGGTAGGAATTGATAAGGCTTTCTCCTCAATCTTCCCACAGTATACCATCCAAAGGAAGTGGGTAGGAAAGGAAATTATGGTCTGAAGAAATGATACGAGGAATGAAAACCTGATATGGGAATTCATAATTGATGGCAATGATGGTAATAATGACAATGTTAATGGTAATAATTACAATGGTGATGATGATGATGATGATGATAATGATGATGATGATAGTGGTGATAGTGATGATAATGATGATGATGATAGTGGTGATAGTGATGATAATGATGATGCTGATGATAATGATGTTGATGATGATTATGGTGATTATGGTGATGATGGTGCTGGTTATGGCAATGGTGTTAGAGGGGACATAAATTGTCGTGTACCCGCAGACACTACTGCAGTAGTGGTGACAGGAAGGAAAGCCTTTTCCGACAACTCCTCCTAAAAATGGATTGCAGTTCAATTTGCCTCTTGGCCCTTTCTCTTGCACTTCCACAACCTCATAACATTCAGGTTTATTTGTATTTTTTTTATTTGTATTATCAAATTAATTGCTTTTTTTAATTTCCAAAATTTGAAATATAATTATTTCAAACAATTTACCTCCTTGCTCTTTTCTCATATTCTGGTGCCCGAGATCATTTCGGTCTATCTCATGATATCTCAATTTATTTATTTTCTTTCCATTCGTTCTTCTTTGTCTAATCTCTCTTCTGTCATTTGAAATAATATTTATTCTTTTTTAAAAATTTAATAAAATTTCAAAATTTTATAATTTCACTATATTAAATATCATAGCATAATAGAAAAAGATAGTATGAAATAAGCAATAAAATTATACAGTTATGTTTATTTTTTATTTTTTACGTCAGTAAATAGTTTCCTGCAATACATATGATTTAATATATTAATGATTAATTAAATAAATAAATTTAAACAAAAAATGCGGAGAGTGAGAAAATTTACAACTCTAAAAACATTAATTTAATTTTACCTTTTACTTTCTCCCCTTTTTTTCCTTATATTTTTAATATAAAATGAGTGCTTTTTTAATTTCTTTTTCTGCACTTATCAGTTAATTTTATTTAATTTTTATCAAATATACAAGAAATGATTAGCTATTTGGACGAATCAATGTGGCAAGAAGTAAAGTGCATATTTTGTGTAAGATCTGAAAATTATTAACAGATCAATCACATGCTTGTTGTAAATGTTTTACATTAAAATCAATCTAATTTAAAATACTGAATTATCATTTGATATCATTTCTCAATGAATCAATTGTTTTTTCAATGAATTTTTAAAATTACCTTACAATTAATTAACAATTTTATTATTTCATACTATATTCACTATTGCTATTGTAAGTGGAAATTATTATCAATTATTAAATTTTAAATTTGATAAAATTTTTAGGATTAAATGAAACTAAATGATTCAAAAATTAAACAGTATGATATAATTATTTAATGAATGAATCAGTCAAAAAATTTTGTACTAATGCGATTTATCACTTTATACATTTCTTTAAATTTTTCTTTTTTCCTTTTTCTTTCTTTTGCATGCAATTCAGTACTTCATAATTCTCGTCTTCTTTTCTCCTTTTTTCCATATTTATAAATCCATTGAGTACTCGAGGAAAGGCAAGCAGAAGGAAGTTTTTGTTTGTTTAAAAAGATTAACCTTCAAATGACCTGGATTTTTCCTGTCAACAATCATTTCATTCGTCTCAATTCAAAAACTTGTTCAATTCTTTAGGACATTCCTTTTCATTACTTTTCCATTCTTTCTTCTGTTTTGAAGTGCATGTTAAGAATGACGAAGAAAATCCAGCAAAATATGGAATGAAAATTTTTTTAACTTAACTTTAAAACGTGTGTCTGTGTATGTGTGTTTGTCGTGTGTATGTGTGTGTGTGTGTGTGTGTGTTTGTCGTGTGTGTGTGTGTATGTATGTGTGTGTGTGTGTGTGGATGCCTGTGCGCATATGTATGTGTGTTTCTGAATTAATAATTGGCTAATTACATATAAATAAAAGTATTTTTACATATTGCATTTATACGCCACATTTGATATTCCAATATTCTGATGGAAGTAATTACATATGAATTAGTTTCCAGATCATTTTAAACATCAAAAAAATAAAGTGTAAATTTTAAAAACAAATTAAAATAAATTTTATATGTGAAATGAATTATGATGAATTAATGCATGCTACAGTAAGAAACTAATTCAATCATAAGAAATACGAAAAAATGAGATGAGATAATTGTAAATTAAGACTTTTCGATTTTTTTTTCTTTTTTATCAAGTATTGTATTAATATTAATTTAAATTAAAAAATTTTTTTTATCCATAAATGCAGTAGTGCATTTATGGATGTATTGAAATTTAAACCGTCTGACTGCAAATTGTGGCATTCCTAAAATATGAAATCATTCTAACTCTGGCATTGGTTTACTCTTGGGAAATCATTCGGGATAGCAAAAATTTCACACAAACTTGCAGTCCGATATTTTCAACTCATCCAGATGTTTTTGATCAATAAATGTTACCGACAAGAGTGTTTTTTTTCATTTCTTTTTCAACAAAAAAAAAAAAATGGTGAAAAAATTTTTGAAATCTTTTTCAATTTGATTTCCTAAACTTGCAACAATTATAATTAGATTTGAAAAAACAAAGAAAAAACTCTCTGATTAAAAAGTAATGAATAAGTTTCATTTGATTAATGTTAAGTTATGCGTCACATATGAAGAAGTATAAAATGCTAAATTATTTTGGCTTAAATATTTCACCATACAGTTCAAACTTATTCTAACTTTTGCTTCCATCAACGATAAAATTAACAAGGTTATCGATGGATGAAAAAAATGGTGAAGTTATGAATCATTATTTTGCATATTTCAAACTATTGGAAATCATTTCATTTATCATTTTTGCCATTTCTTTTTTTTTTTTCAATTCATATTTTTAACATTGACGACACATTGCTTTATTTAACTTATATGTCATATCCATGACAACGATGAATTTAAAGTGTTATTAATTACTAAATAATAAGATCTAACCAATTCAATGGTGATAAGGAAATAAAATTTATCAAACTTTCATAGTGTTGACAAATTATTTAGCATAAATTACTTCTGATAGATACAATTTTTATCACTCATATCAAAAATTGAATAATCACTCTAAATTTATCACTTTCATTTCCGTTCATTTGCAAACCATATTTTAATTTCACCTTATTCTTGTTTTATCGATAAATTCATTCTTTTTTCATCATTTAAATCTTTTTGCATTTTCTTCTCTTCACTTGTTACTAGCACTATGCAGATTTCTAGCTGAATCAAAGAATGCAAAAAGGATATTATCTTTTGGTCAATTGTAGGAATTAAGAAAATCCTTGCCAATTATAGATGCGCAATTTTTGATGATTTTAAAATGGATCAACAAAAGTGACCAAATTTTCTGAAATTGCTGCAAATAGAAAATGAAATTGCATTCTTTATTGATCAATTATCAGAAATTCTGAAAAGATGAAAGATTTTTTCCAAAAATAAGTTAAATTTCAGTTTAGATTATACTTTTTGCTTTGTTTTTTTCAATTAGTTGATAAAAAAAAAAAGTGAAAAAAAAATAATTTATTAACAAATCCTTTGAACAGTTAATGGTTATTTTCGAATATCCTTCTTAATTAATTTATTTATTTTTTTCTTTAAGCTTACTACTCAATGATTTAATTGTTTATTGACAGTTAGAATAAGCTAAAATAAACAATCACATTAGCTATTCCATCAAAATGATTGAATGATATTAGTTGTGCACTTGAAAGTGCAATATCATTTGTTTTTTATTTGAAATCAATTTTCATTTCTTCAAAAAACATATAACCATTTAACCATTTAAAATATCCATCTTATTTGATCATCTAAGTGGTCAGCTCTTTTCTGCTTTTTCAATACTGTAAACAACAAATGTTTACTCTTTACTTCAACTTATTCTCAGTTCCTAAACAAAAAAACTCGAAGCAAAAATTTGTGCCACTTTTTAATTGTCGTTTGCGGTGGAAGAAAAAGCAAATAATTGTCTCATAGTTTTTCATTTTTAGCTTTTCCATCTTTATTAATTCTTCAAAATTTACTTTTTTTTTCTTTTCAATCTTTGCAATTGTTTATTTACTGCTCACATTACTTCTGACCCTTGACTTCATTAAAATTCTCAAAAATATAGTCGTTGACTATAAAATCATTCTTTTCAATGCATCATCTATTGTTACATTTATCAGTGATATAGTTATAATTTAAACTTTTTTGATCTAATGTCGCACTAATGTCTTATCTCGATCTTCCAGAAATGTCTTTCTTCATTCCTACATTAAATTTAATCGTTCCGTTTTTTCTCTTAATCTTGTCATTCATGTAAATATATTGTTATTCTGACTGAATTTTCCTAATTCTATCTTGCATTAATAATATCTTTACACTATGCAATATATATCCAAATTATTCCTTCAATATTATATTTCAAGTTATTTCCATTTCATATATGAATTTTGAATTGAATAACTTGATGAAAATGTTTCAGAAATGTGATTATTGCATGGATGTTCGACTTCTAGTTGAACATTGTTTTAATAATTTATCCTCATGCATAAACAATACATCAGATTCCGTATTGTACTGTTTAACGATTCATGAAGTATCTTGGACATCACAAGTTAATCGGCTGGTTTGTCTGTATCTGTTGATTTTCAACCTTCGTTTTATACTTTTTAAGACAAATAATAAAATTTCATTAAAATTATGGAGATTTAAACGTCTCACAATAAAAATTTATAATAAATAAATTATTTGCATATCAAGTAATTTTAAAGGAATTAAAAAATGTGTAAATATAAGATTGGAAAACAAAAATGTTAAAATTTCCAAATTTCTAGGTGTATTTTTAAATGATAAAAAAGAAATTTGTAAAGGTATAAATTACAACATTTATAATTAATTAATACATAATATTATTAATGGATAACAATAATAGACTTGTTTAATTAGAAGGAGAAATTGGTTTAAATGTTTTGTTTAATTTTGAAATTATTTTCTTCAAAATAGGAATGCAAACAACAAAATAATAAAAAATTTTATATTATTTCAAGAAGTGATACATGCAGAAATATTCTAGACAAAGGAAGAAAGAGAAACGAAAAAAATTCATAGTGAAAAACTCATTTTAATTTTAATTCGAATACATTAAACTGAAAAACACTATATGATTAAAGGTTGCTGTTTATTATTTTTTTTCAAATTATCACATGTTTGATTGGTTAATTGCTTCGGAAAGCACTTATTTCGCCTTTATTTTCGACCTTACCTGATTGCTTTTTTTTTTTTTTCCATTTCTCACCGCAATATCGTAAAATGAATTGACTCGAATAACCTCAAAATATAATACTTTCTGTGCATCTCAATTAATGAAATTGGAAAAATATATTGTCGGTTGTTATTGTTTTTTGTCATTATTTGTTGTTGTTGTTTGCTGTTTATTGTTCGCTGTTGCTGTTGTTTGTTGTTTTACTTTGTAGCTCGTTGTTGTTTATTTGTTTATTGTTGTTGCTACTGTTGTTTTTTGTTGTTTCGCAAAAATTTTCAAAAATAATCAGTTTGTTTATTTTTATAAATAATTGCTTTTGCATCAAAAATTTTTCATTATTAGTTGGTTTCTTTTTCAAATTTATTTAACGCATTACATTGGATAGCCTTTCCAACGATTCACCATTTTAATAGTTTAATTTATTAATTTCCAACATCTACTCCTTGCCAACAGTGTAAAAAAAAGAAAAATTTAATGAAAATTAAACTCTTAGAGAGTAGGGATACAGTTGCCAGTAGAAAATGTTAATAAAAGAATTAAAAAATTGAATTGATAGATAACATTTATGTGAGTTTCCGTGGGGAAAAAAAAAGCGAAATTTATAATTTGCTTAAAACTAAAGGAAGAAAATAAGTTTTATCCATACGAGAAAAATCAAAAACAATGTTTGGATGCAGAAAGTTATTTCGATTTTTAGATTTTAGCATATATAAATTAAATCGCAAAATTCATTATGAGATCCAAAAAGGACATCTTTCATCCTAAATTTACAACATCGTGAACCACTTGAAATAAATTTCAGTTCCACTGAAATTTGAAAAGAAAAAAAACTTTCCCAAATGGACCAATTGCAGTCATGTATGACCCACTTCGAAAGAAAAAAAAAACATTTTACAAACTAATTTTATGTTCCATAAGGCTTTTTAGATGATTACATTCCATACATATAATATTTTCAATAAGTGTTAAAATGATTCAATAATATATATGCAAAAGAAAAAAAGTTTTAAAATTTTTAAAATTTTAGTTTACGTATTTAAATTTCAATGCAAATATAAATTAATTACTAATAAGTTCTGAGGAAGAAAAAAACAATT